ATATGTACAAGTTGCACTGTACGTGTCGCTGCACTTCCATTCGCATATACACATGTATACACATAGTGAATCATAGTAACACACGGAAACAACAGCACAATAGTGCCATAGTGCTTGAAGTGCTTTGCAGGTTGCCATCCTCCTACAACGTATATAACATGGACGCTGAAAACCACTGGGAGGTAGATGAGAAGAGTCTTTACAAGACAAGGGGTCCATTTTCACAGTCCATGTTAGTCTGCGAGTTGCTAGCTAGAACGAGATCAAAGTCAAACACCACATCCATCACCGGACTGCGCAATCACACGTTTTTCTGGTTCACGACACGAGACGAGACAAACGGGACATGAGCAAATCACCAAACTAGCTAGCTGCTATCTCTTGTCAAACGGCATGGGAGATTTGGTGTGTCACCAACATCATAACATATAATATCATACCCATCATGCTCTGTGCCATCACCTGCATCCAGAACTTTCCGGTCACCCCTTGTGGATCGTGGCCACCTATGGCGAGACTGACTCTCGACAATCAAATCCCAAGCGTAATACAGGTTCACCGAACCTTTTACCTGTTGGTGGATTGGAGCGAAACCTACACCCTGGAAGAGACCCACATGGAACCTGACAACCACGTTGGGTTGTAGAGGAAAATGGTATTCCAAAGGTCCATTTTCAGGTTTTGCACATCCAAAGACGCCCCCCGAAAACGCGGGGAGATGCGGGGAGGTCGCTGAAGATCGGCCCTCGGGTGAAGATCGGCCAGTCACGTCACGTGTCACAAGCACACCAAGTGGGTTGGATCCACACCACAGCTGACAGCACTTCTCATTAAGCTGTTTTATCTGGCTGATCCAGTTAAACATGCGGTTGGCAACTAGAGACTTAAACACAGAAACCTAGAAACCCTGGTTCATACAGTGAGATTCCTGGAATCAGCTGGGAAAGGGAGCAGCAAGTAAAGTTTGATCCATGACATTCGCACTTTCTGTCTGAAAACTTCTGAACGCTTATGAATCTAGCCCAGTGGGTCCAAGCACACCACTATATAGCTGAAAACATCAGTGGTTCCAGTTCGACGAAAAACATGAACATAGACCAAACAAATGCCTGGTTCCTTACTACTCGGAGCTGGGATCCACTGAGTAGGTGAGACTTGCGTGCTTTTCGCAATTGAAAACGGGCACCGGTGTGGTTCCACAGGGTGCCAGGAGTCCAAAAGGTTCGTATCCACGAAGCGGGAACCAGGATGGGTGTGCTTAAGGATGGCTCAGGCTACACCGAGAAAAAACAAACACATGCTAGTTGCTAGTAAACACCGATCTGGATTGCTAGGTGTCGAGCCAAGTACTTCAACGCCTGTTTCAGGCGAATGGCGTCTTTGAAACACCTCATTTTTATGTGGCCTTTCCGTGAACACCACTGAAAGGGTTCAACGTGCGCCACGCCGCCACAGCATGGACCGCATGTGAATATGTAAAAACATGGCCGAAAGTACGCAATGCTATGCAATGCATGCATCCCAATCTCTACCCTGTTCAGAACTCTTGGTTGGACTATATTTCTTGGAACTCCCCCCCCACACATTTGCCACATCTGGTCTCGCCCGAGTCCCTGAGTCTGCTCCTAACGACTGTGAGCCACAGTTGCTGACCTATGTAGCCTGAGAATTCACCTGGTGCACACCCGGTGAAGGCCCATTTGGGGCCAAGTGAGGCAATGAAGAGAGTGCGTGCGAAGAAACTCTTCGTGCGTTGGTGGGACTCCAGAACATGTGACTACAGCACGTTTCAGTTCTCAAGGCCAAAAGCTTCCAACCTGATGGTTGTTGGGGTGAAGTTGTCCTATCTTCTTCTCGCAGCCAACTGGGCAGCCCATGTTCAGAAAACCGTTCAGAAAACCCCTTCCACCTCGTATCGGGTCCATTCCTCGACCTCTTTGGCACAAATCACCCCAACTTCTGACTCCACAGAAAACAAATCCAGTGCTTTCCCCTACTTCAGCACCACACTCACACGCACCACACTGCCACAGAACGCCTACAATTCGATGTCACAGGGGCCGCTGCCGGGGAGCCATTTCATGGATTTCATCTTTTTGGGCGACTCCTCCCCTCTTGGGAGCAGTGCGCCGAGAGAACACGTTTTTGGCTTGTGTTCCACTCTCCATGCCTTGCCTTAGCTGATTGAAGCGCATGTTGAATTCCTCGTTTACGTTTGTTAAGGCATGCCAGCATGGATCAAACAGAACATGACAAAACTCTTCAGTCGGATCACTTTTGGAACTGAGATGTGGACCTTTTCACCCAGGACATACATGGAAATACCGAGTTTAGAAGCTGCAGGACATACCGAATCGCGAAGTGGAGTTCCCACCTCTTCATTGGAACATAAGTCTTCACATATCGTAACACTCCCACAACCCTATTGCTGGATGATTGAATATGTTTTCTGGATGTTCGTGATGTATGCAAATTTCGTTCTAGAATCTTTATGGGTTCCTGGCTGGTGCCGTTTTCAATAGCGACCTTGCGAATCCTTTCTTTAGACTTGCTTCCACTGGCTTCCACAAAAACGTAGCTTTGATTCTAAAATGATGTACTGATATCAAGAAAACTTACAGGACACAAATCAAACCACAGGTCTGTAGTATGGGCGGAGGTCATATGCATACTCATGAAAGGGTCCATGCATGTCTCCATCCGGAGGGTGTCCTTACATACCTAGACGTAGATGAATGACCCCTATTTTGAACCACCAACCCACCAAAACATGGCCCTTACATACCCAGTCGGGGTCAAGTGGGTTCACCCGGTGGTTTCAGCTGAGCAGCTCGGAGAGACGGGCTCCACCACGCGCGAGTCCTGGTGCTTGTGGCTTTCAACGCTGTCCATGAAGTTCACGAAGGAGGCTAAGGAATCCTCCACATTTGGACATGGGCAGTGGGTGCTTCGGGCAAATATGAACATATATATGAGTATGTGCCAGGAGCCTCCAACAGGTCACCACCTGCGACTTTATAAGTCTGCAAAAGCCTCCAAAGGAGACCTGTTGGAGGGTGCATATATATTACAGTATATTTAGTTTACAGTATATCTGACTGTGATGCCAAGAGTGACTAAAGCGATTGGCACTGCTCCGACCTGCTAAGGCTGCTGGGTCTCACCAATTGGACAGCTTCTTCAATATCCCGAACGAGACAACCACACCAGCGGACCATGTTATAACAGGCGGCCAGCGGTGCGTCGACCGGTCTCAAACACTCCGAGAAGATGCACTTCGACCGAGAATGCTTGGGGCGAACTCTGGGAAGTGCGTTGGCCATCTTTGGTGCATATCGTCATGAAACTTCGGTAATGGCCCCACCCACCACAAGCGCAACCACCAATGGGCACGGGATGTAAGGGTTTGGAGGTCACGTGCAACAGGGTGTCACAATGCAACATCTTCTTCCGGTCACATCAAACAGCAACAACGATCAGTGTGATCCTGGATGATCCTGGGATATCCTGGGTAATAATATATATATATATTCCCTACACCTCCAGTCGTACCTCCTCAGAAGGTATGACTGGACCCTCCTGGCACCCACCCCAGTCCCACCTTCTCAGGTTCAGTACAACTGGAGGCCGTTGGGAGCCATATAACACTGAGTATGTACTTGAGTATGTATATCTTGAATCGCCTTGGAGCCTCCCACAGAAATAGGACACATCATGTTCGAGCCTCATGGGTTTTATGCCGTTCTTGGTTGGCCATCGACCATATGACATTGCCGTTTCAGCCCTCATCATCCATCGTCGACCGCCCAAGTCCTCTGTAGCTTCCAGGCTCTTGGCTTTGGCCGCCGACTGAGGCCGACTGGGAGGCCGCCCACTGCGTGAAGGCGGCCGGGAGCCGCCAGCACGTGAGGGCGGGCGGCTGGGGCGGCGGCTGCTGGTGGGGCGGCTTTTGACCTTCACCTGCCAGGAGGGGCTGGGTTCAGATGTTGTACCCACCGAAGTGCATGAGGAAAAACAGGACACACTAGGACACCACGCAGGACACCGTGGATGTGCGCCGGACCTTCAATCCCATGACTCATCCCATTTCCCCGAACCAATTGGGCCTCTGTGGACTCCGCAGGCTCCACCACACTCTTGGGCGACGCCGGCGACGACGCCGGCGACACCGCGGCGTCGGGCGGAGCAGCGCTCGCGCCGTCGGAGAGGCCGACGGGGCCTCCTGCGGATGGGGCGAGAAGAAGACTTACTTCATGAAACCGGTGGGGACGCACATGGACACACCCCTGATTGGGAGGTGCACAAATCCCCTGCATCATGGTCAAGCCATTAGCGAAGGCCAGTTCATTAGGGACAGCATGACGAGATGTTTGGCGCCTGCTTACTGGCGGGAATAGTCTGATGTGTCATGACTTGATGCCACATAAGAAGATCGTTCAATCATGCTCTATCTATGTGTATGTGAATAAATAAAGAAATATATATATATATCTATTTAAGTCTGATATCATATCATCTTGTTGAGCTGCATGCATCAGTCTGCAGGGCTTCTTGGTTTGCGCCCACCACGACCGGTCTCGTCTGGCCTGCGGGGCCAGCTGCCTCAGTCGCGGCCGTCATGAGCGCCTCCGCGGGCGTGCGCTGCATGACGACGACGCGGCGCCGGGAGGTCGTCTTCTCCGGGGACCTCGGTGTCCGAGACCCGGAGCGAGCTCGCTCCCAGACGGCCTAAACGAAGTCGCGGATCATGGTCAATCACCGACTGCTAACTATCTACTATATATTATGCTGACTGGGCCACACCCTGTGAGTTTGGCATTAGATCATCATAATATGATATATACATACATGGCCGAAACAGCGAATTCTGCCGTGCCACGTGGGTGTCTCGCAGCGGCCCACCGTCAAAGGCAAGCACAACAGCTCGGACAAAGGCCCAGCCACCAGCGTCGTGGTTCGTCCGGGGCGTGTGGCCGAACGAAGTCCCGTTGACTTGGAGCTGCGACCTCTGAAGAAGCACATGTCCGGAGGTGTAAAGAACTTGATGGTATCAGTATCCCCCTTCAAATGCCCAAGTACCCTGAGATAGCAAGATATACCACGTATCCCAAGTATCCCAAGTACCTTGATTCTGTAGAGGACATCTGCATGGGGATGATAGTGGTTTCAGAGTAGATGTGGAACCCCATTTTTTGTGCTTGTGCGATTCTTTCTGAAATCGCTGTAACTCCGCAAATCTCCGCATGGGTCGGAAACTCCGCCAATCTCTGCGAGATAGGATGGTCTAGATCACTTAGTATAGTACAGTATGGTAGATAGACACGAACTGGCCTGGCTTGAGAGACTCTTGGGTGGCCGGGACAGGAAGGAACTCTGTGACAAAAGAAGCAGAAATGGAACACCACCTGGTGTTCTGGATTTGTGGCCTGTTTTCCCGTGGCATGCTGGACTGGACCAGCAAAACAACCACCCAAAGGCTCATGGACCCTCAAACTGCTACATGTTTGAGGTCCCAAACCCTGGCTGTGAGGGTCAAAACCCTAGCGAACTGAGGGTCCTTTCTGAGCCTCTGGGCACTTTGAATTGGACAATGGACCACGCTGGCGGCCACTGGCGTTCCCCAAACATTCCCGACTGGGCGTGGAACCGATCTGAAGGGGCACAGACAAGGGCTCTGTGCCCCATCCAGCCTGCCAGCAGGTAATTCTCCAAGGGCGCCCGGAAGCGCACGTCGCACATCGAGCTCAGCAGAAAACGCTCCAACTCAGCGGCCGTCATCAAGTTGAGCTGCTCAACTGCCTGAACATGAGATGAATTCGATTGACCTCGTCCGGTGGACGGAAAGAACGCCCATCCACTCCTACAGATCCACTGCACCTTCTATACGGCATGACTGGACCCTCCAAGACCGCCTACATTGGAGTCTCCCTGCTCACCTTCGACCGAAGACCCAAGAGGGTGGCGGATCCATCGGGTACTTCCGCCCCATCTCCGCCCAAGCCTCCCAACATCTGACGACGCCCGTCGTTCCACTGGAACCCCAATGGTTTGAGGTCTTCCAATCAAAGCACCTGACAGTGTCGGGGTGTTCCATGGAGATCAACTATGCAGTATATAAATAGTGTAAGGATGGGTAAGGTATTCCATGAAGCACCCAATAAGGTCAACCTGAGAAGCTGCAAAACGAAAGCCAGCGTTACCATCGGCCTCTTACCGTTCAAATGATGCAAATGATGCAATTTTCATTTCTTGCATCACCATCCCTCAAAAATCACAAAGAATCATATCCAAAACAACCTCAAAAACTTACTTCGGTGGACCCCTAAACACACCTAATTTGGAGTTTACGTAGCCCTTTCTCGGGCCACCTCACTCGTTCCTCACTTCGTTCGCCAAACGCAACTCAGCTGGCGCCTTCTACGAAGGCTGGCTGGCTTTCGTAACAAGTTGTGAAGGTTCAGGTTGGTTAATTTTTTGGAGGGTTGCTGCACCATGGAGGGTCGGTGGCAGTCGGTGGATCCCAAAGTTGCCACCTGGGGTGGGGTGTTTGACCCTCGCCATCCCGTGTGCGGCCTGACGCCCTGCGCTGGTGGACATCATGGAGGGCATCAGCTTGGCGAGCCTCACGGAGGCGTGTTGGTGCAGGAGGGCCTGAACGGGGAAGACTATGACAGCTACGTCATGGGACTCAATACGTAGCATTACGTAGCCCATGTAGCCGCAGGACACTTGTTGATGCCGTACGGTGCCATGGTATCCCCATCATTCACAAACATTGACGAAGCTTGTCAAAGGAGGGGGGGCTTCTACGTGCCCCCCAAAAAAAGACCTCCAGTGCCCGAGAGGCCCTGGCCAACCTGGCGATAGCTAATCCCCTCTCCCTAATAATAAACGGCCCCCCCCCCCCTATTAATAAAAACCCTGGGGTGTTTTTACTAATAGGGGGTGTTTATTATTGAGGGGCAACTGTTGTACCCCCAAATGGGCAATGTTCTGTTCGCCCTAATAAAAAGTAGTGTCTCGAAAGAAAATCCCTGTGGTTCCCAATCTCATTAATTATATAAAATCCTTGTTAAAACGACCAGCAAAAAAACAACAAAGGGTCAAATCCCCCTCCGGTAGTTTTTCGGAAAGGGACAGAGAGGGACAAAGAGGGACAGAGAGGGACAGAGAGGGAGAACCAGGGTCTCGCGGTCTCGCCGAAGAGAGAGAGGGAGAGAGGTATTTTTGGGGGAGGATTGGAGATGTTTTTAATATTAGGGGGAATTCGGGTTATTTTTGCTGTCCCCCTAATACACCTAAAATGTGGGGCACCCCCGACTGTGGACCCACGAGTATTGAATTTCAAAGGGAGCAATTTCAAAACGCTACTAACAATTTTTTGGGGTCGGGCACATGTGTTTTTATTAATTGGGGTACGTTTATTAATAGTAACTCGGGATTATAATATATTTCCTGTAGGGCAGTAGCTACAAAATCAAATCCACTGCACCTGTTCGACACGTTGATGCTGGGATGTCTGTACATATCGGCCACTTCTGTGTTTTCTGGGGCCTTATGTTGCGCTGAAATGGATTCAAAAGGGGCTCCTCAGATCTCACCCAACCTGGCCCAGTGCCTGGTGACCATACCATGCTTCAACAAATAGTACCAAACATTGGATCACCACCATGCCGACTCTAGAACAAGTTATAGGCTCAAAGGCCCAGTGACCAAGACCCCAGCTGATCGTGGGCTATGTCTCCCAACCACAGCCCACCCATTTCTAGACGATGTTTTGCCATCATGACGATGTTTATCGCTACACTGGTCGGGGTGGTAAATGGACGCCGATTAATACATAACACCCCTTAACCTCTATAAGGACTAAGCTCCAACAATACCCCTTATACCTTAGAGGCAGCGGGCCTGCCAGTTTTGGTTGAATTCATCCAAGCCACAGAGCTGGTTAAGGCAGCCCGGAAGCCATAATACCCCTTGATGCCCCTTAACACTGTTTAGGGGGCCCTGGTATACTCAACACACGTCCGGCAGCTCCAATCGTCCCCACCTGGTGTCCTCCACCCTTCGGTCATCAAGGTTTGCTCCGCGCCCCTTCCTGACGGGAAATGGCAGAAAGAAGCCAAGAGGTTTAGTTTTGAAAAGCTAACTTGTGTTTGCATGTTGTTCAACTTTTCAACATTACATTACCTAAAAGTGTTGCTCGTGTTGATAGCTGTTCCTGGGCATGGCTTTAAAGCCACTGCTGCAAGAATAGATATATATATATATAATGCCACATCATGCCAAATATTGATAATTCACAAACCTAGTCATGAACATCACAGTTTCTTCTGTGACTGCACCAGTAATCTGCAGGAGTGAGTAGTGGTAGGAGAGGCTCGGGTTGCTTCTGAAAGGTTCTCACCTTCGGGGCAGTTGACCCGGGCCACCGGCTTTCCCTTTGTTTGAGAACGAACTGGAGGTGAATCCTGTGCGAAGTTCCACAATTAACACAATAACTGAGAAGCTTGAGCAATTGCTGTCACCCTTTGCTTCAAGAGAACGCATTGGAAGCAAGCAAGTTCCACAACGAAAACGAGATAAATCTCCGCTTTGAACCGACCAGACCTGTCCAGTGAACCAGCCGTGTGTGTTTCTCATGTGGGGATTCAGGGTGCCAGCCGGACAGGAAACTGGAAGAAACACGGCACAGTCTGTAAGGATATATCTCTCCTCCCAAGCCTACTGCGGAGGTAGGGTAAACCAAAGGTCTAAATAAGCATCGAAGGGGAACCTCAAGCCTCGCGAACAAACCAACAGGTGACATCCCGGTCGCCAGTCACTATTGTTCTTTGCAGGTTTGTCGAAACTTGTTTCACAAACTACCTGACCGGCAAGTGTTTCAAGTAAATAATTATAGTGCATGGCTTTGGGACCCCTGGCACGGGGTCGGACCAAGGGTCAAAGAGCATGATCATGATGTTGATGGCGTTGACAGGCAGAGTCACCCCCCCAAGTCCAAACATCGTTGGGTCTTCTTCTCCAAGGTTCACCATGCGACAAAGCTCTGCATGGCAGGTGTCTTCCAGCCGGTCGACGACCTCATCCACCGGCCCTCCCTCACCTGAGGCAAGCGCACCGGCACACCGGTCAACAAGACCCATAGGGCCGATAGGGCTGAATTTCATGGATCTGGAGGACCAAAACGAAGGCAGTAAAACACACTAACATTGAACTATACAAATAACTCATATCAATTCATATCAAATAACTCACAAATACAGTAAAACATAGGCGCCTATCAGCAGTAAAACACACCAATAACGCATGATCAAATCCATCCGAACTTCCTCCTCGGTCGGAAGGAAACGCCGAACCTGGTTTGGGGGCCCGCGGACCGGTCGGCCTCCGGGCTCGGTCTCTATAGGCGTTTGGGGTGCCGGATGAGGTTGGAAGTCTCATTGACGTCCAAAGGGCATGCAAACGGTTGATTCATCACCCTGCCAAATGTTTTATTTTTGGTCATCCATGATTCATGATGGGTTGTGAAATGTTGTGAAACCGTTTCTGACATCACAACACCTTTGCGTGAAACGCCAGTGAAACACCAAAAGCTACCTTCCTTATAAAACCCACATGGCCGGGTGTTTCGTGTCGCCTCTCGCCCTCCCTCCGGTCCGGACCCGGGACCAACGAAGTCACCGTGGAGGCTGCTGCAGAAGGCCAAGAGCCTGGCAGTGACCTCCGGCCACGTGGCTTTTTGTCGGTCTGCCGTGCTCAGGCGGGCGCAGTGGCAACGAACCTCGGCATTGAACGGGGCGGCCGAGAGGAGGACGTACCAGAGCGGCAGGAGGGAGTGGAATCCCAGGGCCGCGTAGAGAATCGGGCTCGATGTCTTCAGGTTCAATCTTCGTCAGGCGTGCAAATGAAGATGCATGAACATGGCTCATTCAATGGTTCAAGGCCCAGTCATTCACTGAGGTCTATCCAAATTCCCGCTGATGGTGATGATTCTATATAGCCTGAGGTCTGGTTCGCCAACACTTCACAGGGCACCGGATCGAAGCTTGCCCGAGGTAAGCACTGAGACAAAACATGTTTATTTGCAGCTGGAGAATGAATGAATGAATGAATGAAAGAATGAAAGAATGAATGAATGAATGTCCGAGCAAGTAACTTTTGTCAATTATAGGGCATCAGCTGGCAGCTGATGTGTCGGCCGGGGTGGGTGCAGGACGGTGCTTTCGTTGAGGAGAAAGGGATAGAGTCTCAGGGGGTAGGTAGGTATCACGGTGTCATGGCCTTCCAATCAGAGAACAAAAAAGCCCTGAACATCTTAAGGTCTGTTCTTTCTTCCACCGTGCCCAGCTAGATAGATCGTCAGGAAGGCATCCTGGCCTGACGTAGAAGGTTCTTTTTTCTCAGTGGGTCATTCCGCGAGTTTTTTTGGAGCTGAGGATCTGGGCACTTCGCATGCACTGTGGAAGCTAAAAAAAATCTAAAAAATAGAGGCCAGGACACAAAGCTTTGAGGGTGGGACAACTTCTCACGACATCATGAAATCAAATGTTCAACCTTGATGATGGATCATGTCATCTTGGATCTTGGATCTTGAAGACATTATTGGATCTTGTCATCTTGTCTTTCTTCTCTTATACCTCTCCCTCGTGCCGTGTAGGTGTGGACTGCTCCGCTTCCTCACTTTCCCAAGGAACTCTCAGCAAATATTCCACAATGGCCAGCCGGCATCCATTCTCCACCAACACTTCCATCGCCGGGTCCACTCTGAGCGCAGCGCTGCTTGCCCCAGCGCCCCGACGCAGATCCACCCGTGGCACATGGGGCGACGTCCTCTGGGCGCGCAGCACCGTGAGGCTTCGCGCGCGAGGCAATACCGTGGCGCCTGAGTGTGCGGCGGTCTCGCCGCGGGCGAATCTGAAGTGGAAGGCTCTGGATGAGATCTTTCAAGCCCCCATATTGAAGAGGTTTCATTAATCCAAAATGGGGAGAAGTTCATTGATCAAAAGAGTCTGACATGAGCAAATTCTTCAGCGGACTCCCGAAAACCGAAGGATGCCGCGAGGTGGAGCGAGGCTGCACAAAGGCCATGAAGCTGGAGGTCAAGAGAGAAACAATCCACTTAGGACGCTACTAGGGACTCCTGGCATCGCTACTAGGAGCAAGGGCCTTATAGGGCCTTACTACTAGGAACAAGAAGCTATTAGTCAGTTTAATCCACCTTCGAGCACCGCCGAGCACCGAGCTAGCCCTGAATCATTTCTTTCCAAGCAACGAACCCGTGGCAGCGCGGCTTCTTCCGCCTCCTCCTCCCCTGGACCACTGGGATCCTCGTGGAGTCCTCGCTCCCCTCGCCGAAGTCCGCGTGCCACGCCGCGCTCGCTGCGCGCCGTCCGGTAGAGCAGGGCCCGCGATCGCGGGCGCTCGGTGAAGACGTTGTTGTGGGTGGGCGGAGGGCCGAAGAGGAGCGAGGAAAGAACCTGAGACGGAGAGCCTTGGAACTGAACGGCAACACAAACCCCAGGCACGACCCGTCTGGGACTGCCATATATGCTTACATTGGGGTGATTTTGGGGGGTCAATGTAGGCATATATATATATGGCATACATGGAACGTCTGGGAACTATAATCAAACTGAGCTTCCTCCCCGGTTTGCGTGCGCTCTGTTTGAAAGGAGTCGTGAGATCTCATGTAGACTGCATTCATAAAGCCCCGCCCGATAAAGAAGTGTTCGGGAGGCACTTTATGAATCGATTTTGTCAGACATGTACTGTACTGCATTTGTCAGCTAATTCCAGCATCTCCACCTCCTGTCCTCCCTCTCCTCATGGTCTCCTCAGCCCGCCCCCAAGTCAATGGATCTCTGGGTCCCTTCCAGTGTCCCTGCCTGTGAGGCCGTCATCCTTTGTGCCGGCTTCCTTCCCCGCGGCCAGGGCTTCATGGCCTCGAGCGAGTCCACTAAGGTGCCGTAGTGCTTCACCGCGCGCGAGGTCGGGAAGAGACGGATGAAGTTCTGGTTCCGCGTGCACTCGAGCCTGCAGCGAGGAAGTACGTGGCGCTATAGGTACGTGAGACAGGACAAATTACCGCGTGTCCTACGCACCGAAGTCCACTCCGGAGGGTGAGTGGAAATCGACAAACGTTGACCGGTCCCTATATTCCCCTTGAATGAGGAGCTGGATGCGGATGTGCATTTTAAAAAAAAGTGCTATAAAATGCATAACCACCCCTAATATTCACTATTAAAAAAACGCTGGATTTATAGAATGTCAAGACGCTACACGCCAACTTCAGCATGTCGGAGCCCGCTGCTTATAGAATGTATTGACCCTCTGCGAAAACACTCAAGCATACTCAAGCACTAAGGAAAATGATTTATATAAAATGCATTGACCCTCTCCCAGACCCTCTCAGCGGCCCTCTCTGTCTATTCCCTTGAGGTGTGCTCCCTGTGTCTCCCAGTCAGCTCAAGGGAGTAGACACAGAGACGGGGGGGAGAGAAGAACAAGTACAAAAAGTAGCTGGTCTATTTCTAATTGTTAGTCATTTGGCTGGTCTAATTCCTTCAGTTCCTTTCTTCCATTGATGTTTGGAGTCTGGAAATTTGGAAAATTACAATTTTCATAAAGGAACATGTTGAAAAACAATTTGAATCCTTAATTGAACCAATTTAAATTGAATCCTTTAGATTCTTTAGATGCTTTAGAGATTGGATTTCAAGCCTTTCGCGCCTAGCAGAGTTTTTGAGTCCCACCACCCCAGGTCCTCAAACTCCAGCGGCTTCCTTTGAAAACTTTGGTACTGGTTGCACTTGGCCTGTGTCGCTAATAAATGTGTTGAACCACACATATGGGCAATCCATTGCTTGTGTGTGCTTCAGAAATTTGTATTTTACAGAATGTATTGACCCTCTGAAGTATGATCGATTTCTTAAGGAACAGACCTTTTATAAATTGTGCGGACCCTCTGCTCCAAAACCTTCGTTTTATGATGACCCTCCAGTTTGGGACTACAAAATGATACAACATGTATGGTCGGAAAACATGTTATATATAAGGGAACAGGATCGACATGTTATAGTGTCTCGTTCTAGGGGGATGTCCCTATAGGGTTCCTGTCCCATCAAGGTCCATCTCCCTCCCAACCAACAGTTATATAACCGTATGCCAAGAAGACTCCGATATATACCTGGACCTTCAAAGGGGTCACCAATGGAGTTTTGTAGGTAGTGTAGGGGCTTCCAGCCAGGTGACCCCTTTGAAGGTGCTGGTACATTTATAAATAGTAAAGCTGCTCCTAGCATCTTTGACATATCACGGGATACATCTATTCGATCGATCTGTGCTGTGGCAAGGTTGGGCCAGTGAGACTTTCATGGTTCCTCCTTTGGAATCCATGCTGGGATCGTTTTGTCAAATCTTCCACAATCTTCATCAATCTTCCACATTAAGAAGGTGTGTCAGCTACGGGCTTTGTTCCATTCCTATCCTATCCATTCCATTTGTCACCCGCACACCGCCGACTCCCGAGACCCCCAAGACGGTCGACCAAACGAACCGCGGTTGGTCCAAACCGGGACGGCCGCAATTCTTCGAACCCACCCGAGCCTGCGAAACCTCATGGCCTGCAAGTCAAAGACCCTAAAAATGGGTTGATCATGGTTTTAGCTGTGTAATTAACTGCCAAGCCCTTTGTAAAGCCCATGGCAGTTCGGGATTCAGGCCAATCAATGGGCCACGACTTCGGTATAGGATGTAGACTCGTAAGACTCATAGAAGCTGCTGATATGAAGAGCTTTAACCACCAGCGCGTGCTCCAACCCAACGTCGGTCACTTCGTCGGTCGCGCTCCAAACGGCGTTTTTCGGTTTGGTCGAGGTACAAGGCGTTGGCGGTGCTCCGCAATTCTTCGAGTTCCAAAGCGCCCAAGGGTACGGATGTGAAGACCTCCTCAGCCATGACACCTCGGCTGCCAGGGAGACCTTGTGCTTTCATTTCGCGCGCTCTAAAGCTTTCGAAGTGGTGTAATCTGCTTACGATCCAAACACGGTCGACGTCATCACTGGAATGAAACGGTCGAGTGGGTTGACGGTCGGGGCGAAGGCAGGTGTTCGGTGGTCGGTTTTGCCAGTCCATTGAGTCGGACGATGCATCACCTCCGCCAGCTCCGGAGGACCGGGAGAAAACACCGCGACGGAGGCGGCGGCGCTTTTGCCTCTTCTGTCTTCGGTGGAAGGTCTATGTCCAAAAAAAACTGGTTGTATACGAAACCTCAGAGAAGTATCCTCTGAAACCGGTTCAAGCACTTTCGACTTGGTAAAGTCGAGATGGTCGCGGATGCGTGTTTGGGTAAAGAGGTCCAGGTGCCAAACAGGCACCCCAAGCACCTGGTCCCTGAGGCATCCGAGATGCTCGATAGATAGATGGGTGTGGGTCACCCAAGCAGTCCGTGTTTCACAGGAAAATCTCTCCCAATGAATCTGACCAGTCCCCAAATGCGCCAAATGTTGCGAAGACATTGTAGCATTTACAGTCATGTTGACTGACTGTTGGCTATAAACCTCTTCATATATGGGGAGCTTCTATGAATCAAGAGTCTACATCCTACTTGTGACTCACAAAGGCCACAAAAGGCCCTGTAACGACCATAGCTACGCTACAAGGGAGAAATGACTTTATGTGTTCGTCACCGAAGGCCGGTTCCTGGACGTTCCGCGGCGCAATTGTTGAATATATTACGTTTATATATAATATGACACTGCATATTTTCCATCAACATTGTATAGGTTTTGTTGCGTTCGTTGCATTTATTCATAGTTATTCATCACTGCCGGCAAGGCTGTGACGGACAGGGACGCAAGTCGCGCTATTCATAGGTGATTCATGGTTATTCACTATTCTCTTTAGATCCGAGTTTAACCACTAAGCCACTCTCCGCCGAGGTCCGGAGCAAGGTCGACTTGCCGCTGATCGCGGGCCTCTTCCGCCGCTCCTGGGAGCTCAAGACGGCAGTCGGGCGTCGCACGTGCGGGGTAAAGCGGTGACTCTGGTTGAAAGCGAGGGGATAAAGACATGATTCAAAACCATCGAGGTGGGTTGAAGTTGGTAGAATATGGCTTCAAACTGGGAAAATCGCCACCCCCGCATCGCACTCTTCATCAACAGCTGTCCTTAGCCACAAGAGTGTCGTTTGCCGATAGGTGGACGTAATAGGCAACAGTAACATGACCGTTTTCATGGGGTGACTCGCATGGCGTGGAGAAACCAGCTACAATCTTATACCCTCCTCATTGCTCAGGGCTTAGATCGTCACCGGGTCTCGCTCGTCAGATTCCTATAGCAGGCTTCCACCGGGTCTCGTCACCCTACCAGCCTTAAATCGCTGACGAAGGCGCTGGTGGCCCCGGAGGTTTTCCCGGAACTTTCAGCACTTTGGCCTTTGCACGTGTGGCTTCTGCCAACCGTTGCTTGCTCACCCGGTTGATGCCCACCAGGTTGAAGGAGTCCGCCAACAAGGAGCCTCGGTGGCGCCTTGTTTGGGATGTTCTAGTGAGTGGGGACAACATGGGAAAACCATAGGAATTCATTTTGGCCAATGAATATCGTGAATGTCGCTGCTTGTGCGATGGGAAAAGAGACCGGATGCCTATCCTATTAGGGAGGTGATTCAAGTTGAGACTCATGAGATATTTTTCACGTCAGTGGATAGAGTGTGGAGGTTTCTCGTGCTTCACCGGTGTCTCGTTTCAGGCCGGGGAGCTTTTGATCTGCCAATCCTGAGCCAGTGAAAGCCATGAGACATGCGTTAAGTACATGGCTGCTCCTGCCAAACATGGCCACATCAAACATCAACGCTTTTCGTGGGCTACCCAACATGTTCCAACCATTTTGTGCACAAGGAATGCTGTGATTCCCACTTAGAAATCTCCATGATCCCGGTGTTCAAACGTCTTCACCCTGGAGCACAACACATCGCATGAGAGGCGCTGTTTGACCAAAAAAAACACCCACCACCCACTTGCTGTGGAGACATGTCCACGTGAGCCAACATGACCAAGTTAGAGTGTTGGAGCTTCTCAAGATTCAAGAGTGGCTCGTGCCCGCGTTCTGAGGTGAAACATCATATAGGTTATGGGTTTTCTTGGGTGCCAAACGCCGCCAAGACCACTCCACGCTGGGCTTTTCTCCCTCCTTTTCGTGGGATCTAGAACGAACGACCTTCCCCTCCGATCCGTCGATCTCGGCACTCGAGTTCACTCGAAGACACCAGTGGCGAGTCTGCCTGCATGGATGGGCTCAAGTTCACTTCCAACAGCCATGGCTTCAGATCCTCACGACCGCGCTTCTCAGCGAACGAACACCGCGAACAGCCGGAGGCCCAGTCGAACGGATCTGTTCAGACCGCCGTTCGTTCCGTTGTCCGTCGTGTTTTTTAGTACATGCGTTTTTCAGTGGGGACAAGTCCATTGCAATGATTCAGATGTGTAACAAATAAGATATATATATATATTATATATAAAATAACTATACCTGCTTGAATGCTTGATACAGGGGAAACCTAAAGCTTTCATAGTACATGTCCTTTTCGGTTCACAGCACTGAGCCCTGTGGATTTACCGGTGATTGATGGTCAATGCCTCGCCGCTCCCTCCCTCGCTCGGTGAAAGAAGAACACCGGCTGCCCCGTCGGCATGAAGCCGACTGCGCAGGCTCCTTGTCCACCAAGATGTCAAAGCCATAGAGTTCAAAGCAGTTGTGGCTATGATTGGCTGTGACCCTGGTCCGAGCGGAGATCGTCGGCTCGACGGCCAGCAAGGACTTCACCAAGACGTCCATGATGCGTGTCCACATCAACTTCACGTCTACACCTTGGCTGTGTGTCAAATCCAGGTCCATCCCGTGCGTCTGGACAGTTGAGGATGCTGCACATGGGGGGCTTGTGTCTTTACCTTCTTTTGAGGGGTTGTTGATGTGGGGGGTTGACGCCTCTTCTATATTACAGGTCCTTTAACAAGCGAACGCAGCCCGAGCAATCAAGAACGTGAGACAGGAAAGACTTGGACCCCAAAGGACTGAGATAGGTTAGGGTTTGCAGCTTTGCAGTAGGACATGTCAATTCATATGATGAAAAACCGTTTCACAACCAATGTGGACTCCACCAGTCAGGGTCCCCGGGTCTACGACCCGATACACCCGGCGGAGCAGCCCGAGCAGCACCCACCCAAGAGGTCTCTCGACAAAGAACATGATCCATGGTCTCCTTTCAAACAAATGGCCCTTGAGCCATGGTGTACTGTGACAAGTATTAAAACAACATTGGTGGGAACAGGATTGCATATGATTCAAGATATTCAAGAAGCCTGGTAGCCTCTGCTACACTTGGCTGAGGGTGAGAAAGGTGCCTTTCCACACAGTAAATCAGCCGGATTCATCCAGTTTCTGTGAAACTTTGAGATGATCATAGGAATGGCCTCCAAACTAATAGCATGGCCTCCAAACTAAAAGTCGTCATGGCATCCCTGGGGTTGTGTGGGCCCATATAGGTTCAAGCTGGTTCAACCCGGTCCCGGCAGGGCTCACACACCGGTCGGTGACTCGTCCGAGCTCAGAGACCGGTGCATCGCAGGTGTCGGTTGAGCGCACTGATGCTCCACTTGTGTCCTGCGTCGTTGTTTTGTGGCGCGTCGAAGCGTCGAACAGCGTCTGCCGTGGTCCAACTGGGTGGTTTAATTAGATGTGGAAGAGGTCTTTGAACCCTCAAAGGTGAAGAGGGTCTTTGGACACCCTGCTATGCAGGGTCAAAGCCCTCCATAGGAGGGTCCAATGATGGATGATGTTGGATGAGATTTCGAATGGTTGAGGGGAGAATTCATTTCTGGCGGCCAGTCTTGGACACCGTGCGGATTTGGAGAGAACTCCCGGGGCATCTCTCTCCCTTTTTCTTTTTTTTGTTGGGGGGGGGGGGGCAAACTAATTTTTTCTTATGTGAAAGTTGTCTGCACCCAAAAAAACACGAGATCTTAAGGGTGGTGAAGGGGGGCGCGCTCTTAAGGCTGGTGCATATGGTTTTCGTGTTTATTCTTCTGGTGTCATTATGTGAAACATGCTGAAGGTAAACACATGATCTAAGACCATGATTAATCAATCTGCTCGGTGTTTCCATTCTTCGACTAAGGCTGAGAACACTGGGAAATGGACGGCAACCCTGGCCTTCCAAGACCATGAAATACAATGGTTGACCTGGTTTAGTAATAGTCTAAAACCATCTAAAACCCTTTAGTAAAACGACGAAGATCATTGGTGTAAAACCTGTAGTCTAAAACCCCTTTCGCAAAATCACTGCCGTTCGGACGTCGCATGACATCTTCGGTGAGTCGACGAAGGTGAAGATCGCCAGCGTGGAAGGTGTAAAACCCCAGTGCATCCCAACACCGAAATCTGCATCCGATGCTGGGGACCCTGGGGTGCATCCTATTGGTGCCCCCTAAATCAGCCCGTACCCTGAAGAAGCGCTTGCAATCGACGCCCGAGAGCACGCTGACTCAAAGGTAACCAGCAGTTTGCATCACTCCGAGCGTGAGAGAAGCGCTGCGAGAATCGTCGGTTGCGGACACTCTTCCGGTTGCACACGCCGAAGACAAAACACCGCGGATGTACAACACCTGGGTATACTGAAAGGCTTTCAAGGGCCGCATGTGCCATGTCCATCTGCACGAGCGGATTTGATTGGCATGTATGGAATCGAAGAAAAGGGCCGCCCGTGCCCGTGGAAATCAATATGCAATCCCGTGCCCCTTCTCCCATGCTCATTATATAAAATGCCTCTGGTTCAAACATTCAACAACACCTATTCACTCAACTTCACGCCACGTTGGTCACATTTACATATTTTCACGCAATTTCTCGTGAATGTCATGCGATTTGATGTTGGACTGGGCACGCACAACGCATGTGCATGCCTGCCAAAGGGTGCACCCAGGCTATTCCAATGCACCCTTCCCAGTCGATAATGTTCTATGTACACTCTTCAGCACCAAGATCACCATAAAGCATGTGAGCAACATTTCTCGGCAAACCTGTCAGTAAATACTGCATGATTGGCCAAGACAACTCTGAAGAGTACATGATTGGACCAACCGGACCACAACTCTGCCAGTCGATCTAGCACGATCAGCTGGAAGATGCTCGCTCGCTCGCTTCCGGTTCCCGAACGACACCGGTGAACCGAACGGTCGTTCGCCGGTCCCATATTGTCGTTCTGCACATCCGAGTTCTCCACAAAGCTGGCCGAGCCCTTGTTGATGGAGTAATTGGTTAAGTGCCGGTAGGCATCCTGGTGCCGGGCAACGGAAGGATGCCTGAAAGGCCCTCCTCTACGTTGACACCGCAACCACACGTGGAAAAGGGCACTGCATCCAATCAAGTGATCGTCCTATCTCATTCGTGAGTTGCTATGTTCGTTTGGTGGCGGGCGTATATCAGAGCGCACGTGGGGAACACTGATCACAACTTCGGTACACACATGTGCATGTTCAGTGCTTCATTAGTAACATGTGAAACCATCCGCGTATATGGAATAGTATGGAATAGTTATTGACATTTACCCCATGAAAAAGTGACCCAATATAGGTAACTATTCCATACATGGAGTGTCTGGGAAAGGAACCCCAAAACACACCCTCCACCTGAAAAATCAACTAAACCATACATGAAACATGACACCGCCTTTCTTGGGGGCTGCCATGTGGAAGGTCGGAGAGGCTCTAGTCACACCGTGAGTCACACCACCGGACGGTCCTGTGACGCCGACCGAATCGGTCGACGTCCCCGTTGCGACCCCGAAAAATCGACCAGTCTACATCAGTCTACCCACCCGTTTGGCCTCCAGTCGCACCTTCTGGGTGCGAGGGTCCAGTCATATTTTCTGAGGCACTTGGAGGTGTAAGGCCTTTGGTTGAGGTATAAAAATGCACACAATTTATGCGAGTGGGTATATCCTATTACATGCAATGCCTTTCTCAATACTTTGTGATAATCCTTTACCGACTGTTACTGGTAGTAGAGGGGTGACAACCTATGTGGGTGTGTTTAAAGCTGCTAGATGGATCTATAAATTGGAATTAATAAATTGCGTTAAGAAGACACCCCCAAATCCTAGAAACTAACACGCCGACTGTCCGAGCATCTGAGATGTGCTTGGCGTCGGTGCTATAGGGCCGACATGCAAAGCGCACCAAGCCTTCTCGGTAGACATAGGCCCGCAAGGGCTCATAGCCTTGGTGGAACCAACAAATCTGACTTGTCAGGATGACTATGGCTATCGTATACAAAGATGATGTAACTCATGGATGGCTTGGAAACTGATTACCCTCCCTCACCAACAATCATGGAAGTGGATAGGCCTCTTGGTAGAGGAAAATCGTCTTCCAAAAAGCAATTCTCCACTCACGTCCATGACTGTTGGACGGGGAGTGTGTAATGCTGATTGCTGTCTACGCCACACAAAGTAAATCAATTGCCAACGCACCCCTCAAAAAGCACTGAATATGCACAAAAAGCATCACCACTTACTTAATAACATGTTTGTCTGGCCTGGTATGATCTGTTTAACAATCCAGACATCTCTTCCGCCAACAAGACCTTGTTTCACGTGTTGTGCTTAGTCTCTCCCGCAAACTCACCCCACTCACCACCCCTATAGGGCCCCTTTCACCTTTGGCTCACCATGGCGCCGTGGAACGGCGTGGGGAGACCCAGTGTGAGACTGGACCGGGTGGGGCGCCAGGGGGCTGGTGACCAAGACGTAGACCCTCAAGTCAAACTTCAAGCCTTGGATCCTCGGTGCCGTGCCGTCCGGAACGCGGACGGTCAGGTGGGATGGGTTGAGGCGAATGTCCAGGTAGGCGCATCTCGGGGCATCTCGGTCCAAGTCCAGTGGAAAGACCGACTGAGAGCCTGAAGTTTGAAGGTGGTTCCAAGATGGTCCAAGGCCATGTCGCAACCCCTAACTTGGGGGAGCCCGAACTGGATCGAATTCTGGTGTTGGATGGTTTCGGTATGAACTGGATTGTCGGAGGCAAACAAAAAGTAAGAACTTTCATGATAACAAAACACAAAACCAACACAAGGGGCTGGTGAACATCTGGATCCTGTCAGGGTGACCAAGGAGAACATTCGGCAATGTGTCCTCCGATATCTCGTTCTGTATAGATGTCAGTGCTTTTCCACAAACATGGGAGTTGAGCATGCTTTCGAAAACGGTGTTGTTCCGCAATAGAAATACAGTATATACATGTATATATACGAAATGAGCACAGGGCTTCCACTTCCAGCACTTCCCAAAAGAACCACCGAGAGCTGCACTCAAAACCCCTATGGTCCCAGCTCCCACGTGATCCCCTCCCACTCTCGGCTTCAGGGTCAACAGGGGATCGGCCACATACTGCGAGACCACTGACACCTCATTCAAGGGCAGCTCGGAGACGTCTTTCAGCACAAAGATGCCACGGCCGCGCGAGGAAGCGTGGGGCTTCACGATCCAAAGGCCTCCTTTCCTGAGAGCATGGATGTCCTAAAAGCCATGTAGTAGCCTAGGTGGGCTCCAAATACCTCCTGAGATAACATTCGGTATGGGTGTGGATTACAAGTATACCACATACCTTCCAAGATGGAGATATGGAGCTACAGGGCCAAGAATTCAACAGAACTCAACATGAGAGCCTAGAGCGAACTAGGCAAACGGCGTGACTTGGACGCCTAAGCTGCAAAGCAAAGCAGTAAACTGGCCTGCACAACTCAAAAGGACAAGCTCCTTTGGCGCCCGAATCAACACCTGACGAGGAAAGTAGCTGTTGCCTGCAATTGAGGTCATCTACCCTCAAGTAGTTGCAGTTGCATTTCCAACAGATTGGCATGGAAAGTCTGAGACCGTGCCACATGTTTCTAATATTCATTTTTGTAACCAAGCATGACAAAACAAGAAGGACCAAGCGACCATCCAACCACCAAGGCTCTGGTTGTACACCTCCAGGAATTCCTGGACCTGCTCCGGCAACACGAAGGTCTGCGGCATGAAGTTGAAGGCTTCCGAACCGAAGGTCTCCTGAGCTGCTGGAGCCGGTGGTCTCCAAAACGACGTCCAGCGCTTGACGTAGCAAGGTCGACGTCCTCCCTGGTGCGGAGATCAGTCGGCAGGGGTGGATGCCACCATAGACCAATGGGTTGTTCACCTTGTTGGGATCCCTGTTAATCAACCAACCAGTTGTAGAAGGACGTCTATGGGTTGTAGAGCTGAAGGTAGGACTTCAAGATGCGACTCATTTGATCGTTGGATTGACAATGATCAATTGGGACTCCCAGTGTCGAGCGCACTGCCTGAAGTACATGTGAGGGTTTATGTAGGCAAATCCTCCTAGGATAATTGATTTATAAATTACATATAACTGCAAGTAGTGGTGTGGTAGCTTCGCGGCTATGGTCTCTTTCTGTGGTCTAGTCATGTCTAGTCTCTTTCACAGTTCCCGCCATACACAACACACTCCAACGCATCCCCCCCCCCCCCCCCCCCCCCAAAACCCCCCCCAAACCCCCCCCCCCCCCAGTGCCCCCCCACCGCCCCCCCCCCACCTCCCCCCCCCCCCCCCCTGCGCGTCCAGGCCAGGCACCGCCATGTCGCTGAAGTTCAGCCACAGCCGATCCTTCCGGGTGAGCTCCGTGGAGCCCGGGAAGTGGTTCACCCGCTGGAACTCGTTCATCTCCTGGAACTCGTCCCGTGCCGAACGCGTGGCGAGTCCAGCAACGAGTGGCTGTGGCGAGTCCGGCGAGGTGACCACCGATGTTTCATGTCATTCGGAAGTGAAGTCTATAGGGTACTATATAGTTCTTACTTCCAAAATGCGCAACCACAATATCGCAGTGTGCATTTTTGTGTTAAGACTTCAAGGTGCAAACAATATCAATCATAAACCATAGTTCAAGAAATTGTGGGATTTCTAAGTGCAGGACATGAGACTCAAGGTTCTCTAGAAGATTCCTGAGCAATCTTGCTTCTTACATCTTGCTTCCAGGAAGTTTCAACATCTGTAATGTAGACCTGTGATTAATAAAGCCCCCTAGAATAATGTCTCTTTTTTTCCTGCACAGATTAATAACGGCCCCCAGAATAATGTCTTATTTTTTTGGCAGGGATAGTTGCAGTGGAATATCTTTAATTGAGATTTGATGCTTTTGGAGGCTTTACTTACCTAAGCTCTTTAGTCTTTAAGCTTTCCAAAACTTTCCAAAAGTCAGTGCACACTTTCTTTACAAAATCCCTTATTCAAAAGTATTGAAACAACAAACAAATCTTTCAAGCAAAGGGGGCAGTCCAGCAAGCAGCTTTCTGACATTATTTAGGGGGGGCCCCTAGAATAATGTCTAGAGATTTCAGGCTTCAAAAAATAGGTTACTTTAAGTAAACGTATATTCATTCCCTTTCTTGTCCTTTTGATTTGCTTTACTTACCTAAGCTCTTTAGCCTTTAAGCTTTCCAAAACTTTCCAAAAGTCTGTGCACACTTTCTTTACAAAATCCCTTATTCAAAAGTATTGAAAAAACAAAAAAAATCATTCAGCAGCTTTCTGACATTATTTAGGGGGGCCCCTAGAATAATGTCTAGAGATTTCAGGCTTCAAAACATATTTTGCTTTAGGTAAACTTGTATTCATTCCCTTTCTTTTCCTTTTGATTTGCTTTACTTACCTAAGCTCTTTAGTCTTTAAGCTTTCCAAGAGTTTCCAACAGTCAGTGCACACTTTCTTTACAAAACCCTTATTCAAAAGTATTGGATGCTTTTGAAGGTCTTTGGATTCAGATGTCCATTAAAATCTTGAGAATTCCATTTTCACTTTATTGATTTCCTTTTACTTTAGTATTCCAAATGTCTTCAATTTGAGATTTCATTGATTCCCTTTTATGTTTAATATTGCCAGAGAAGGCCAAGAAGATTTTAATAAGGATTCTTTTCATGTTGGTCCTTTGATTAGTTTTCTTGTAGATTATATTGGAGGCCCTGGTTGTTGAGGGGGGGGGGGCCGGGGGGGGGTTGATTAATCAAAAGCCTTTCCTCTGAAAAGGGTGTCCACCCTGCAAGGCTGAAATGAACCTTGGTGGGAAAACCTCCCGAATCGTCAGGAACCTGTGCGGAAGATTGCTTAATGCTATTGATTGTTTGAACCAAGGTCTTCATCAGATTGAATGTGTCCCTGACAATGGGGAATCCTGAAACCCAGAAAGGAGTGTTGCAAAAAGGACTGGTCATTCAAACCTTCCTGTCGATAATGGCAACTTGTTTTCAAAAGGCCTGTTAGGTGCCCAAGGTGCATAATGCAGGATCAAAGCCCTTCGCCATGGACCTGCCTAAATATGATATCAACTCCACCAGACATTATATATATAGACGGACCTATGTAGAGAATCTGGAGGTTTGGTTTCCGGGCACTGCCAAATACCATGTAATAGATACTGTAAGCAATCCAACAAATTGGCCATGAGTCATTACTCATTACAATTGCCCTTCCTTTCATTACCTTTCTCATGCAAAGCATCCTCTTAACAATAGACAGCCCTTAGAAGTGTTTCATTGAATGAACGTCTCATTTATTGATAAGCACACTTACGTTCCGAGTGGGAACATTTTTGAACCACCAACTTCCTTGTGTTAGTTTGTTTAGCAGTCACATTGCTCTTTCACCCAAGAAGCTTCCTTTCTTCATTTCTTTCTTGAGTTCTTTTCGGTTCTTTCCCTGCTGATATGGTCCACGCAAACCGATCACATTTCCCCAACAAACTCTTCCAGGTCTTTTCTAGTCTGTATAACAAACGTTCCTTTCTTGAACTTGTATTGCACCGCTCTCCTAGTTTCTCCTTATTTATACATGTCAACTGGATTATTCATTGGCGATTTGCCTATCCAATTAGAGAAATAACACACCATTTGCATAAGCAAAGGAGCAAAACTATCAATAGAACAAACTAACCAAAAGAGGAAAGGAACTACAGTATGCAAAAACACTAACTAATAAATATTGCTAGAAACCAATTAAAATAATATGTGGCAGCAGGCGGGGTTTTGGGCCAAGCAATGCTTTTAACGTTTGGTCTAACTGTGTTGTACTCTGTGTTGTTATTGATTGATTCTCAATAACTCAATAGCCTTCAAACACACGTTTGCAAATGTTCTAGCAACACGCAAGCATATTGAGGAGAGGACAGCCTAGTTGATCAGCTCGAGATTCTCATGATAATGCAAAAAGTTCTGGAAGTACACGTGGGAAGGAAAAGGTCTTCCAGAAAACCAACGTACCAAGAAATACGTATGCTACGTCTTACTTGCAGAACAATGTATATACGGTCCAACATACAGCCCCAAAAATATCAAATTTCGCGAGCAAAGGGGGCATCCCCGTTCCAACCATATTGAAAAAAAAATATAACATTAAATCAAGAACAGGGATATGGTGGGTGTTGGTGTGGATTCCGACGTCCGGAGGCTGCGCATATTGTTTGAGTGGCGTGCTGGAGTTGGAAGTTCACCCCAAGATGTGGGACAAACAGCAAACAGCAAAACAATTAAAACAACATACATGCATACAGCATACATGCCTTACATGCACAGAACATCACAGAACACTCGTCAGTGACAAGTGATGCAGTGCGGTGTAAAGTGTAAACAAGTCAAATCAAAGAAACTAAGTCCTAAGTGGAACCAAGTGGAATCAACTGGAACTACGTGGAACCAAGTGGAACTCTGTGGAACCCAGCGGAACTAAGTGGAACCAAGTGGAACTAAGTGAATCTGTGTTTTCCCTTCACTTTGTCAAACAAACAATTGAACACAGTGGAACCAAGTGTGGAACCAAGTGGAACTAAGTGGAAACCTTATCTATGTAGCCCACATAGCAGTGGAAACCATGTGCATTGCTTTCAGTTAGTTGTGGTTTCCACTGCTATGTGGGCTACATAAATATGGTTTCCGCTTAGTTCCACTTGGTTCCACTTAGTTCCACTTGGTTCCACTTCGTTCCACTTGGTTCCACTTGGTTCCACTTAGTTCCACTTGGTTCCACATAGTTCCGCTTGGTTCCACTTAGTTCCATTTGGTTCCACTTCGTTCCACTTGGTTCCACCAGGTTATCCCACCTGGCCACAACTATACGTCTGGTGGTATGTTCACCCCACGACGTCCGGATACGTCCGGATACTTCGAAGTTTATAGTGTAACTTTCGCACTGCCGGAGGCTGCGCATGGATTGTTTTCTCCCTGTGTTTGATGTGGTGTTGCAAACATCTTTGGTCCTGGGTCTCTCAAAGCCTCAGATTGAAATTCGACAAAGTTTTGGCACCTATGACGTTCAAAATATGTTACCATGATAAGATACATAAATATATCAGAACAAAACGCACTGTACCCACAGTTCAATCAAACATATGTATGCATGCAAGCTGCGGTGGTGAAAATAACAAACAGGCCCTGGGAACCAGGACCTCGTGAAATTTGATACCCAAAAATGTGCATAAATACACAATGTATATATGAAAAACATCTACTCAACGGTTTATCTTGGGGGAGAGAGAGGAGAAAAACAACACACATGTGTGTATATATATGTCACTCCTTCAGCTCTGAAGCTCTAAAACTGCCTGCATTTTCACTCCGCCCCTGCATGACTGTGCGAGATTGCAGCATCGAAAGGGGCACTCAACGAAGGAGGAGTGCCTGCTGCTTCCACATCTAAAGGAGCGAGCCGGGTGAAGGAAAACAACCGGCCAGCTTGGGCTTCCGCGAAGCGGACGGTCGTAAAGGTCTCAAGAAGAGAACCCGGGTGATCACGCCAGCAACTCAAAAAGAGCTCCAACTCGAAACAATCGGTCTGTCACTTCAGGACCTAAAGAAGAGAACACGGCGCATGCAGCTGTCTCCTGCAGGTATGATTCCAATGTCGTCTGCGAGCGAAGGCGGAGACGCCAGAGTATGTCTTGCACCGGCACTCGCTGGCGGTAGAGCATAACAGCTGCTCCACCCCTCAGTCCTCCTGGCGTCAGCTTGAGCTCGGATGGCACAGAAAACATTGCAAGCAAAGCGTCCCACCTCCTTCGATAAAAAGAGGGTGAACCCCCAAACAACATAGTGCTTTTCGGACAGTGCTCATAGATAGATCGTAAAATCTTCACAGCGCCGCTGTCTCTAATTTCCATGTGTTGAACATGAGCTGCTTGTCTGCCTAGGCTTTTGAATCTCTTCAGTTGCAAGTATATGCTCTCGTGGTTCTTGTCGAGCAGATCTGAGGCAAACACGAGGTCTTGCCGCTTGCAGTGAAGGATCTCGCCAACTCTTCCCGCCCCAAAATATGCTATGAGGGTGATCCCGACCCAACTAAACCAGCCAAGTTGCCATGCCAGGACTACTAGGGCTCTGACTAATCCCTCGGGGATTGGCACTCTATGCACTACTGGTTCAGCTCTTTCCCATCTGGTGATGAGATCCCAGCATGGTGATGTCTGAGATCGTATGACAGGAAGCCATCTGGCAGCTCAAGAGCAGATGTCTATAACTGCTTAGAGTGCCGCCAGTTGCAAACTCTCGTTTTCCATACATGTTCAGACTGCTGACCAAAAACTCTGGCACTGCTTGAAAAAGAGTCTCAACATCAATACTCTCAAAGAAGGCCTGAGCCCACGTTATGAAGCTTGCAAGAGCAACTGATTCACGCCTCAGAGT